TTATGTGTAATGGTGAAGGTATCATTCACTGCCTTTTAATGTGGTAAAGCTATCAAATGATGTGGAACCCAAGATGCTACACTGATCTCCCCTCCTGAAAAATCCTAAAACACCTTCCAAAAAGATACACCAAAAACACAAATAGAAGATACATATTTAAGACCTGTATATTTAAGCATGTATTTTATGTTGTGCCCTTAATAATTTCAAAGAATCTAACCCAAAACTATTTTTTTTTTGTTTTTACTTTTTGTTGCAGTTGAATATTTTTATTCCAAGGGCGGTGATTAAATATTTGATGTAGTTAAGAAAGTGAAAAAGCATTTGCTGATACTTCCAATTTTTACCTTAAAACATATCGTAGTTTATTTTATATTTCATTTGAAATGCCATGAAAAATAGCCAAAATATGCCTACACATATACAAGTGATACAGAGGTGTGTGTGTTTCTATAGGTATGTGTGTTAGAAGGATACAAAGTTGAAAATTAATGGACTTCTTATAAACTACTTGTTTGAATTATTTTATTTCTAAGATGGGGAGAATACCTAGTTTCAAAGATTCTGTGATATAAAACACACAGAATAGCTATCTATAAAATATTAACAATGAATTATATGCCCTAAATACATTTTTATTGATATTCAATGATCATATTTACTAAGTTAGAAACTCTTGGAACACTCGTGTCACCAAAGATCAGATAATCTTGGGAAACTGACCTTTTCCTTTGGGTTTAAACCAATACCCTAGAAAAATAACTCTGTTTATTTCGTATACTGCCCAGCTTGACAGGAAGAATCACCCAAAATGCAACACCTGTTGCTCAGCAAGCTGAACTGGCTTTTTTCTATCAAATAGATCTTCTAGTGTTCACTTTGCAAGGAACTGAGACCTATACAAGTAGTTTGAGAAAAGAGTTGTTGGTGGGATTTGTTTGTTTATTTTGAAGATTTACAGCCTTCATCTCATAGAAATCAAGAGCTGAAACTACCGCAGCCAGAGTTCCTGGGGAACGTACCGAATATTAGGTCTTTTCTGTCTTAGGATCTGCATGGCCGACTCCCTGCCCCTTCCCTTAGTTTCTTTCTGTTGCTTACTGAAGGAAGAGTGACTAATACAAATTTAAGTATAATACAATTTTCCAGGAACCCCCTACTGGCTTCCTATCTCTCCATGTAAAAGCAAGAGTCCTTACTCAGGTTCCTAAGCCCTGTATGATTATTTCGCTCAGTCCATATCTGACCTATGTCCTAACATCTGCTCCCACTGTGCCAGCCGTAATTTCCACGTTGGTCTTCTTTCCACTCAATGAGAACACATATATCTCAGGACACCTGAAGCTGCTATGCACTCTGCCCAGAACATTCTTTCACAAACATTAGCATGGCTGCCACCTTCACTGTGTTTCCGTTTCTGTTCAAAGGACACGTAGTCATGTAGGCATTCTTGACCATGCTATCTCCAGCAGTGATTCACTCATTACTCTTGAACTACATAACTTGTTTATTCCTACAGCTTCTCTACCTGCTAACATATATTCACTTGTGTATTTGACTACCCGCCTCCTACAACAATAAGTTTCATCACAACAGGGACTTTGTTTAGTTCACTGTGGTATCGTTGCTACATCAAGCAGTGCCCAGTACATAACAGAAACTCCATATGAATGTTTTGGAGGAATTAGATGAAGGACTATTACTTCTAATCTCTACTTCCTGAGTCTGCACCTTTTTATGTTCCTGTTAAATAGTTATTTTTTATATTAGCTAGCACTCAGTTCACAGTTATTCCATGACCTTTCATTTATAACATTCTCTAGCAACTGATAACTTCTCTCTTTTCTGTTAGTTCAAATTCCTGAAAGTATAATTAGATAGGTTAATTATTTTTTTTCAGTAAGGCCACATAAGCCTTAAATTTCTGGACAATCTCTGGTTGTATTCTTTTCAGTCAAGTATATACACTTATCTAATAAGGCTGAGCCACCTCAGAACATGGCTGAGTAGGCACAAGGGGCTGTGGGAAAGCTTCCAGACAACGTAAATATGTCCAATACATAAAGCTATTGCAGCTTCATCTTCACCAACGTTCTTCACTGTCCCAAGTCCGCTCATGAGTCGGACATCACTCCTGAATTCACTGCATCCATCTTTACCTCCATGTTTCTTCTTCATCAGATGACTCCTTCAGGTATTTTGTTTTTGCTGTTGTTAAACTTCTTTCATCACAGATATAACTATGCATTTATAATTCATCTATAATAAACAAATCCATTTGTCTGCCTTGATCCTAAAGACAACAAAATGACCCTGAGCTGTCATTTCTCCAAGGTTATCACAATTAACTTTGGAGTGGTATGCAAGAAATATCCTGTGCTTTTGCATAGACCCTGTTGTGGAAGCACAGTAAGATGATGCCCAATGAATCATGCCCCTTCCTAATCCCCTCTTGTTTTGTGTGGATGGAACCTGGTACTTCATTCTTCTCAATAAAATATGACAAGAGGGAAATAATTGTACAGATATAATTCAACTCCCTAATCAGATGATTCTGAGGTAACCAAAAGAGAGGTTATTTGGGGTGGGTCTGGCTTAATCAGATGAAAATTCTTAAAAGAGATTGGTGACTCTTGAAAATGAAAACAAATTTTCCTGATGTCCTTGAAGAAGCAAGCAACCATGGGTTCTACAGCCCTAGAGAAATAAATACTTTAAACAACCTGATCAAATTCAGAAATAAATTATTCTCTGTCAAGCCTCCAGATAAAAACACAGCCCAATTGGCCTCTCGATCGCAGTCTCATAAGACATTGAGCAGAGGACTCATCTGAGCCATGTTTGGACTGCTGACCTACAGAAACTGTGATGCAATAAATGTACTTTGTTTTAGTCCACTACATTTTTGGTAATTTATTATATAGTAATAAAAATCTAATACAGATTCTCATCCTAGTTCATTGAAAGAGACAGGCATTAAGGAGCCCATCCATTATTTTATTTTTTTAGACCTAACAGTGTGGCTTTGTCTTAAATTTTTTCTTTTCTTGTGTTTTACGTATTAAATTATGGAAACTGAAATAATACCTTTTACATCCTTAGTATCTTTCTAATTGGAATTTTACTCCTTTTCTATATGTTCCCTGTTCCCGGTGTCTGAAGATCAGCTTTAGGCCTTTCAGGAAACAAACGTGACCATAATACTTTTCTTCCTCCCTTAACCACATAACCCTCTCTTCTGCACGCAGCATCAACTCCTGTCATTATCAGGTTTTGGTTCTGATGAGCATAGCCCCAATGTCTTTGACTATGAGATTCATATGACCAATCCTGTCAATAATGTCTTACTTTTTTTTCTGTTTATATATGTAAATATTTAATTTGCTTAATTTTTGTCAATAAAATTATTCTTAAAATTTTGGGAAATATTTACTTACTGATTTTGTAAGGTTAAGATATTTATGTGTGAAAATTTATCTCTTGTTTAATTACATGTTATATCTGAATGTACATGTCAATTTTGTTTGGTAAGAGTTAGACACAACTATGTGTGGTCGCTGTATGTTTCTCTGTTATGTATACTTTTCCAAATGCTATTTATTCTGCTTGCTATCTTGAACAATATATTTGAGTGCCTTGACTTTCTAAGAAGTCTGTAACTATCCTGCAGCATAGAAGTCATGTAATTTAGGAGTTATTTAACAAATCATTTTCAGATTCCACAGTGCTAAAAGCTGAAGGTGTAGCAACATGAAGAATTAACATTCCTTTTAATCTCATTAGAACATCTGTTTTCAGACCCTTAACAAACTCACAAAAAATTTATAGTATAAATATTTGGTACATACTGTCTGTATTTAAAATAAAAATTTTACTTTTCTGCATAATATGTTTAATGCTATGTGCTTGAAAAACAACATGTTCATTTATCATACAAATAGAAATAAACAATTGAGATGAAATACTGCTGAGGGAAATTTCTTCTGTGTTTATTCTGCCAGATATTCTCAAAAACTGATTTGAAATTGAAGTGATTAAGAATTTTTACAAGGGGGCCCCACGGAGTGAATAATCAATCTCTGGTTCACATTTCCCCGAAAAACAAAACAAAACAAAACAAAAACCCACAACCACTGTAGATAAGGTTCTGATTAAATAGTTTTAAAGTGAAATTTTAATTTTAAAAAAGTGAAATTCAAAGTCATGACACATTCCTAGTTGTGGAAGTAGGAATCAGGGCAGGCCTGCAGTTCATTCGTCTACAGGGAATTAAGAAATATTTAATGATTATATTTCTAAATGCATACCGTAGTAGATAAGCCATAAAATGTTCTGTTCAATTAATTAAGTTTATATCTGATCCAGGTATGCCAAATTATTCTCTTTAAGGGAAAGAAGTTTAGGGAGATTAATAGTGGGAAATTAATTGAAAGAAGTTTTTTTTTTGAAATATTAAAGTCATATGAACACCTGATCACATGAAATATAGCTGAAACTACTTTTCCTTGTTATCATACTGAAGTCAGTATAATGCATTGATAAAGAGCAGACTAAACATTTCCAGAGGTAAGGTTCATAATTTTTCAAAGTAGCAGAGCATGTTTAACACACTTGCGTTCTTAGTTCAGAGGGATAGATTTCTCTTTTGGAAACCTGCCTTTGAGTTAAATAGCCAAATCCTGAAACTTCTGATAGCAGTCAGTGTTAATTATCTTCCTTTGAGATGAGCCACCAAGAAGCAGAAAATTTACCATCTCGTGGTGATTGTACCTACGTGAAATCGATTTTTTTATTTTATTGTGACGTATGAAAAACATGGAATATTCATACGCAACAGAATGCGGACTTCCTGCAATTGTGTTTGTCTTTTTAAAAACGCACAAGAATGTGTAAATAAAACCATTTGATTACTTAACAAGAATTTTCTGACAAGCTTGTTCCCCACAGTTGTTATAAATTTGCTGCAGCTGCCTCTTAACGCCTCCAGATGGCGCGCTGGTGCTCGTTCTCGCCTCCCAGCGACCGGCCAGTTGCCAGCTGCTGGGGAGAATGAGCTTGGAGCCGCAGGGCTTATTCCCGCGCGGCTCAGAGATGGGTTTCTGGACTCGCGCCGCAGCTGCAACAAGGCATCACTCACTGTGCAAGTATTTCCATTTCTGAGAGCAAAAGGAAGAACTTAAGCGGGCGGCACTTGGAGTGTAAATTGCTTTGTAGTATTTAAAGGCAGAATGGATCCTGGGCAGCCGAGCTGGTACGTGCAACAGAAACTACTCAATGGAATTGTTCTGGGTAGGACTGGTCTGATCGTCCTTTGTGTACCAAACGTTCTGTGTCCTGGATTGTGCCTATGTGTATACACCCATTTCATTTTCACCAGGATCATGGGGACATGGGGGTCACAGTCTTTCATTTTTCCAAAATGATATAATAAAACCTTTTACAGAACATTGCTTATTAATAGAAATGTGACCCCAGTCACAGTCTTGAGACACACATGATAATGGTATAAAAATATTTCTTTTCTGTTTCTTTGTTAGACAAAAAGAAAGTAAACCTAAACTGTATTATCGTGCAGTGTTACCAGATAGGACTTTTAAAAGACAATGGCAAAAAATGTTTGACAACCGTGGAGTAGACTTTTACCTGTAGGTAAACACACCTGTAATATACCAATATTTTCAAATCTATGTGCCAGAAAGAATACTGTGTAGATATGAAATCACTAGTCATGAAAAATACATGTCATGAATATGTACATTTTGTATGGTCTAATGTTATGTGAATGTGTGTTGTGTATATGTACACAATGACATGTATATGTGACCTAGATGCAGAATTATTAGTGTATGATTACAAATATGCATGTGCTGAACATAGACAAATTTTTGCACCTGCATACACAATATTTCTATTTACACAATATTAAATCTGAATTAAAAAGAATATATTTGTTTTACTGTTATATTTTAAATTTGTTGTATTTCATTGAGTTTTGCACTGAGTTGTCTATGCTTTTAAATTCCGAGGAAAGGTTGGTTTTTATATTTTGAACAAAAAATATTGGCTGAGATGATTATATGGGAATAGAATGCATAGACATATAAATATAGGTTCCCTAAAGTTCAGGTTATATGTGGAATTCACAAGAGTTTTGAAATTTCGAGAATTCTGACAAAGAGTTTATATTAGAAACAAGAAAACTGACAGATTCAAAGATTCATAACTGAAGTGGACATAATTGAGGCTAAGGTTTTAATGTTTAGTAATATTACTCTAAGATTAATGTTAGACTACTTTTAACCTTGTACAGATTCCCTTGAACAGATGTTGCTCATGAATCAGCAACTGAATTTTATCTTCTGCCATTGCACCCAAGCAAATATAACACAATTCAATACAAGAAATATGACTTGTGGTCTAACTATGTAAGATAGCGTGCTAAACAAAGCCTAAAATGCTGAGAAAAGTTAGAAACTTTTGAGTCCCTGCCCTCAAAGAGTTTCCATTCAAATGACTAGGTTAGGCATGCTTATGAATGTGAGTACACAGCAACAGACAAAATCAATGCCATAAAAGAGAGGCATGCACAGGTGTGTAGCATTTAAATTGAGGGAGAGATCTAACTTAGGGGCATTAGTAAGGGCTTCAAATTGGAAGGCCTCCTTCTCAAGAGATGCATTGAAAGAATGATTTTGGTAGGTGTGATGAGGTTTGAGGCAAGAGATATATTCAGGTCAGGCAGTTAATTTGGGTTGGCTACGGCATTCTTTATTGATCTCAGAGGCGACCAGTAAGAGATAATATTACACAAATAGGCTGTGTAATATTGGAGACGATCTTGAACATCAGGCTGAAATTTGTGGATTTCATCATCAGTTCATTCCCAGTGCCACTAACAATGTAGGCATTCAGTATTCTTAAAACATTCAATATCCTGCATAACAGCAATAGCCAGCACAAAGTTTTAGGATAATTTTATGGTTCATTTATTGCATGTCTACCATAATAGAAAGTGAGTTTCAAGACATAGCACTCTTTTTTCAATTTTCTATCCTCAGAGTCCGGAAAGTACTTGAAAAATGTGTCTGCTGAATGAATTAATGAATAGCAAAATGGAAATATGGTGAGGGTTCTATATCATTCACATTTTGTTTTCCTGATGCTCTTAAATGACAAAAATCCTCAGAATTTACCAAGTCTTTGAAGCTATCGTATCAGCTGATTCCACTTATGGCTCAGGTAATGCTAAGCAAGTTGCCTGGTAGCACCACTATTGATATTTAATCTTATTCTATTTTTAACCTCTTTTATGAATAGTCTTGCCTTTTCATTTTTAAAACAGATATTAAGATAATTATAAACTGTGTCAGGCAGAATTAAACAGTTCATCTTCATATCCCTACGGTAGATATAGTGAGTATATAACACATTAAACAAATGCATTCAGGAAAAGAGTTGAGGGTTTGGGGAATGTCTCTGCACCCTGTAACATATGTTTACCTCCTTATGAGAATATTTGGTTGTCTACAACTTGATTTAGGCAAAACTCTCTAGAGCCTCTTTGTAATTCTGGATATGCAGAGTGATCGTTTGGAAAATCCTTAGCAATTTCCTTACGTAGTGTTTGGAGACACTGTGATACCTTTCTAGGGGTCACAGCTTCCCCCCCGCAACAGCAGTGGTCCTCTTTTTTGTTCCTGTGTACTGATATCTATACTCTGTATGGACAACGACAGGAATATGTGGAGAAAGCAGTGAAGAAAAAAGTTTTTGTCACTTGAAAGGATGATACTGGAAAAAGTTTTGATCATTTTAAAGGTGTGATTTTATAGGTGTGATTTGCCCAACTATATTATAAATAAATGCATAATGACTTTCAAATAGAAGGGCCAAATTAACAATGCCACTGAACCAACAACTTCAAAAGAAATCCCTGGAGTTTCCCCTGCTCTTCAAGAGAGATCTTTCCTCTGTGATGATGATTTATATATCTTAATTTACTTTTATATCACTCATTTAAAAATATACAAGGGTGGAATTTCTCACTTTAAAAATATATGTCGATGGGGTTTATATGTGTCAGTTCAACTGAGGATGCAAGCTTTTAGTTTCAGCTTGAGCAAATCTGTGCGAAGCTGGGCTTTTTCTCTCAACAGTGTCAATAAGACAAATTTCCACGCTAGCCTGATCTCCATCCTGCTGGACCTCCTGGTCATGCTTTATTTTTAGACCTGTGGGAGGAGATAGTATGGCATGGTGGCTGGCCCAAGGCTTTTCACCTTATTCTAAGCCCTAGTGTATGGCTTGGCCTGGAGAATAATCCATCAGGGAAAGGATACCTTGTGTAAATAACGCTGGACTTTCATTTTGGAGAAATATACTGCAGTGTGTACTGCAGGCTTTTCCCCCTAGTGGTTGACTTAAGGCTATTGTTTTTCTTAAAACAATAGAAATAGACTTTTCTACATATATGGAGCTGGCTTGGTCAATATTTTCTAACTTTTGTTTTTAAAAACATATTTCAGAAGAAATGGTGATTGTTAAATGATCACTTTGAAAGGTACAAGTAGAATGCACTGAACAACATGTTGAGGGCTTTTACTTCTTTGGAAGGCTGGATGACGAAAATTATACAGATACAAAATATAAACAAATAATGGAAGTTTTTCTGCAACTAGATTCATACAGCATGCCTTTTTCTGGGTGTAGTGGAAAGATCCCTTCTCCCTCTGTGTATCCTAATGTCATTATTTTTTTAAATCACCAGTGACACTGAATCAGTTTGACATGATTTTTCTTTAGCCTATCTGACCATACTGTAAATTCCTTAAAGGCAGGAAACAAATTCCATGCTTTCTTTGAATTTCTGTATTATACTAAACATATTGCCAATCACAAAGAGCACTTAGGTTTATAATTTTTTTTTTTTTTTTTTTTTGAGGCAGGGTCTCACTCTGTCACTTAGGCTGGAGTGCAGTGGCACGATCATGGCTCACTGCAACCTCGACCTCCTGGGCTCAGATGACCCTCCCACCTTAGCCTCCAGAGTAGCTGGGACTGCAGGCACACGCCACCATGCCTGGCTAGTTTTTGTATGTTTTGTAGAGACAGGGTTTTGCTATGTTGTCTAGACTCGTCTAGAACTCCTGGGCTCAAGCAATCTGCCCGTCTCAGCCTCCCAAAGTTCTGGGATTACAGGTGTAAGCCCCCTGGATCCTGCCATTTTTTTTTTTTTTGACAATTGAGTAAAGATTAAATTATTATTGTTTCACACAAATTAAAATAATTGATATTGCCATAGAATAGTGGCTCTCAAGGGACAAAATGGAAATCTTTCTAGTGGTTCTATATACTGAGAATATTATACCTGACACACCACAGCAGAAAGAGAAAGTTCCTTCTTCTTAATTAGCTGTGAGAAATGAAACATCTTTTTGAAAATGTTATTAGAAATGTGGAGAAGTCTACAAAGGCATCAAAACTTGCCTCTGCTTGGTAGAGCTATTTACATCTGGAATAGACATCTTTTAGCATACCTGTGTATCTAGGGTGTTGTGTAATGGCAGGTGGAATATTCCAAAGTTAGAACTACTAAAAGAACAAATCAGAAGAGTTTCTAGCAATAAGAATTAACCTTAAGGAAGCATAGTAGCATTTATATGCTTTAGAGCTGTTCCTGGGGAAAAAAATCATGCATTTTTTATAATGAGCATATTTATGAGCATATCTCCACCTGCCACCAAATGTATAAAAATGAGTTAGTAGCTGCAAACTGCTATTTTAGCAAGTGCTAGAGGAAAATAACAAAGGATCTGTGACTGTATTGTCAACAGGAGTGAAGAAGCTTCTCTTGTGTCCCTGGACCAAAGGCTAACAGAAGAGCTTTTGGTTACTAAGATGTATTCTTTCCTGGTCTCAGGCTCATTAACGATGGAAGTAGGAGGGAGAGCATATAAAGCGGCAGCTGCAGCTGTGGGCACTCAGATCATTTGTCACCTGGCATGAAGTTAGTGTTGGCGGCTCTGGAGTTCCAGCACAGAACACCAGGGAGCAAATGCCAACTGATTGTTGTTCCACACCAGCTTGGTGGCTAACGCCTACTCATTCTTCAGATCTCTGCTGAAGGGTTGCTTCCTCCAGATAGCTTTACCTGACCTCTCTAGAATGCATTTAGCACCTTTCTCTTCACTGTTAAGGCCTCATATTCTCACCTTTGGCATCACACTTTACTGCTTGAAGACCTGCCCTCCT